CATTCACACCGCAGAAAATAAAATTCACCCCGTCGACTTGAAAGACACCCCAACATTGCGTGTTCCGCCCTCCCTCTCTTGTAATGCAGTACTACGATGCCAATCCTCTGTGGATACCAAATTAATATTCTGGGTAACGAAATGTTCTGACGACAGCTCATAAGACGGCAACAGCATGATTTTCTCGATGCGAATATGATTTAAAACTTGAATAAAATTTGTTAAAATGAAATTTTATTAGATCCTGATGTTGTCATTTATCCATTACTTAATTGTCACTCGGTTGACAGGCGAAGTGAAGCGGAAAAGTAATGGAAAGTTACTTTACCGCACGTCGTGATGAAAAAACCGATATAATCTCGACTAGTCCTGCTTGATCCGAATTAAAAAAATGTTTGCCTCGCGATTCTATCAATTATCGCGCCAATAAGTAATTCAATTTTTTATGACAGGTCGAAAGAGTGAATGGTTCGTCATTCCTGAATATTTCATGGGTACCACTTGACACTACAATCCTGATGTATTTTACTGGTCATAACTCTGCATGACTCTGAAATAACGCGCTTGAATATTTTATGAATCATAACCGGACGTAATGACCGATTTACTGATAAGCGGAAGGAAAATTGTCACAGTAGAAATAAATGTTCCGGTGGGAAAATTAGATTATATTGATTTGGAATAAGCAAAAAATATTTCTGTCTGAGGAACGTCGTATCAGTACTAGTGAAATCAATGGCAAATAAGCCAGACGTATAACAAGTTCTTTTTACGAATCCAAATTTAGTCACATCTCCAGTGATCCGTGAAATTTCAATTGAAATCTCATGTTTTTCATTATTCCCATTGTCAGTCTTATTCTGAGGTCCGTAATGAGTACTAAAATTAATCTTCTGGTGTTCTTTGTTGTCCCTGTTCTGTCAGATAACCTTCAGAGTCAGCCAGGAGTCGACTGGTTTGAGAGTTTATCTAGATCTCCTATACATACAGCTTTGATAATGCGTTGCCATGAAACAGGGGATTCTGAAATTTTGAAGGATAAATTATTGGCAAAAATTATGAAGACTTTGCCAAGTGTAACACTCCACGTGGATCATCCCACCATTCTGCTGGCTGACTTGGATGTTGGTGGCATATCAAAGTTGTCAACATCTCTCCTCTTCATTTATGATATTGAATATTCAGGGGATAATCAGAAAATATATGAAGTGATTGACTCCATCCAAAAATTGGCAGACTTCTCTGTAAACTGCTATCTCCTCATCATACTGAGGACA